AAACGTACAGTTGTGGCAGTCTAGAATATACACTAGAAATAATTGAAAAAAAAGCTTGTATTGATGTCTGGTCATTTGGTATTGTATTCTATGTTTTGTTTCAGAATCATGTTGCATTGCCGTGTGTGTAGAACTGAGGCGAAATGGCGACGAAGCCTTTGGTATAAGTGTTGCTGGAGGTGCAGACAAGGACATGCGGCCATTCATATACTCCGTGAAGCCTGGGAGTATGGCTCATAGGTAAAATCGTGGTGCCCACATATCGTACCTGTTCTTATTGCTGCAGTCTTCACGGGAGTTTTGACGTGTTTCAGATGCGACAGCTTGGTGGTTGGCGACGTCTTGCTAGAAGTTAACGGCATTTCCGTGAGCAACCTCAAACATGATGACATCTTGACACTGTTGAAGAACTCTGGCGAAACTGTGACGCTGCTTGTCGAGTACAGCATCGATACCCTGAGTAAAACCCGATGCTTTTGTCGGAATCATGTCACAAGAGCCAAAGGGATTTATTTTTCAGATGTGTCATCTCCTGAAAAGTACGTTAACAAATGTATCGAAGTAGCATTGCAGAAAGAGGACGGCAAAACGGGCATTACCTTTCGAGGTGGTTCCTATGGACCGGACGCCAAGAAATGTCGTCCAATTATGGTAGTTAAAGTCCGCACTGGCAGTCCTGCTGACAGGTAAGCAACCTGTGTCAACAGGGGGCATCTTTTTTACGCGTTTCTCTCAGAGACGGCCGGATTCGTGTGCGAGACAGAATACTCGCTGTCAATGACTTCAGTGTAGAAAATGCTTCCCACGGCACAGTGGTAGATCTCCTGAATGACTGCACGAGTACGGTGACGTTAACTGTGCAATACAGCGTCGCTATTCATGGTATGTGTATTATCTTGAACTGTTTAAAAAAGTCTAATGAAATTCTAAATTTTCCTGCATAATTTTTTTAATCTCGCGATAGTACTTCAAGAGATAAGACGACACCGAAACTTATAATATTAAATATAACCATAGAAATCGTACTTGCTTGGTAATGAAACGAATCAGTTAACAATAAATTATCCTTGCACTGCAAGTGCTTATTGGCTTGGGGCTGAAAACCTCATTCATTCTAATGCTTATATTAGAGAATTGTTTTAAATGACATTAATAATATGAGCTGAGATTCTTCTAAAATTAATCCCTGTTGTGAAGTAGATACCGTACAGTTCATCGTTGGAAAATGCAGTATATGCGCAAACGCCGTAATTGTAGATGTTGACGAGGAGTCTAGGGTGCAGTGTAGATAAACAAAGCAGAGACTCATCCGCGTTAAGAGAAGAACAGTTCCAGTTGCCATGTTGAACCCTTAAATTTATACCAGTTTTTAAAAGATTTGATTTTAACGAATATTAGAAACTGGAGGACGTTCAGTCGTTGAGGGCATCTCAAAATTGTGATCTTAGTAGACAATACGGTAATCGCTGTTGGTGATGAATGTTAGCTGGAAGGCATCCGAGCTGATCAACTCAAAGTTTGAACCTGTAATGTACATCAAATACTTAGTAAAAATGAAAGTTACATATTCCGTTCGGTTTATTGTCCCAGTCGTTGTCGGCATAAAACGGGGGGTAATTTTTTATGCCTTAAGACTTGCTGTTTCCATACATTTTGGGATATAAATGTTGAAACCGTTCGAACTGTCGAATAGCACAATTAACAGTTTGTCGTGGACAGGGAACAGGTTTTTGGTCAATATATTGCTCGGCCAAACGACCAGACCACCAGTGATCTTTTCATTCTGTTTGGCCGTTTGCGATGTCTTCGTAAATTACCTTCTTGCAGTATAAACATCAAACCGAGCCCATTAAAGCTTTCTTCCTGAATTATTGTCGTTTGCCTTTCTCATTCGCAAAATTATGGCCTCTCCCTCCGATTGGATCAATAAATATGGCATTAACTTGTAGAATTTAAATGCAGTGATAGAAATATAAACTTATGCTATGCCCTTGCCAGTTTTGAACTTATTTCCATCTGATATGTCGACTGACTTTGAAAATTCATTTCTGATGCTTCTTTTGTTAATTTTATCAACATCGAGGTTAAAACAAGCATTTAGGTTAGCGAGGCATGAGATTTTCATCCTGATTCAAGCGGTAATTAATTGAAATTTCCGGTCTCTGTAAGCTTACATGTTGAAATTGCTTATTGTTCTGGGTATATTACTTACCGATGCTATATTTCTTTTATTACAAGGGATCACCGATAGTGTGTATTGTCTTCTTTCAGAAAATGTTACGCTTGAAAATAAACATAGATATTTTGGTGCTGAATTTGACAACTGTCATTTTTAGATCAGATACGCAATGCTCATGGACCAGTCGTATTCGAAATGGATCACTTACCGGGAAGCGACGTAGGGCTTCGCCTTGAAATGGTGGAATACACCGCAGGCAAAAGATCAATACGGATTAACAATGTTGCCCCCGGCAGTACCGCCGACAGGTAATTTATTGTTGTCGATGCTAACGTGTTCTGGCTATCTTGGCATTTGTGAATAACTAGTCAAGTCATTAATTAACGAACATGTGTGCAGGTTGTAAATGCAGCTAATACACGCCTCTTGAAGCGACTGTCCTATGATTAGGTGTGGTGCTTTACAAGTGGGCGACGAACTGCTCTCAGTGAATGGAATATCGTTGAGACACACCATGCTCCCGGAAGTTTACGAGATTCTGCGGGGTCGAAATCGGACGAAGCTGCGGTTGGAGATTATTCCGCTTGGTTGCCTTCGTAGTCCACCAGTAAACACAGCTGACAGGCGAGGAATCATTAACCGTTCGAAATCTGACTCCCTTCCAGG